GGTAGAACTACACTGGACTACTTGTAGAAGGAAAGTTAAAAGTACAAAATACTGCCACCAGTATTTCAAACTGATGCACTCACTCACTCACACAAACACACCTTATTTAAGAAGTCTTAATCACTGCCCAATAAATAAATAAATGAATATATGGGTGTCTGTGTGTGTGTGTGTGTGTGTATATATATATATATATATATATATATATGAAATGCTTATTTAGAGGTAAACTAATAAAATGTATCAAAAAACAAAAGAGGAAAGAGATTTACCTTAGGAACTAGCTCTTGTGAAATTTACAGGAATTTTAACTGGTCCCAAACTCACTATCATTAGTTATAAATTGTAGACATTTAAAGTATCAAGGACCATGGATAGAGAGGACCTAAAACCCCTGCTCGGATGTAGCCCATACACTCAGTATCCAAGTGGGTTCCCTAGTAAAGGGAGCAGGGGCTTTCTCTGGCATGAGATCAGTAGCAGGCTCTCTGATCACCTCCACCTGGGGGGTGCAAGCTTACCAGGCTACAGAGGAAGACAATGCAGAGAGTCCTGATAGGATAGGCTAGGGTCAGAGGGAAAGGGAGGAGGACCTCCCCTATCAGCGGACTTGGGGAGGGGCATAGGAGGAGAAGAGAAAGGGAGGGTAGGACTGGGAGGGGATGAGGGAGGGGACTACAGCTGGGATACAAAATAAATAAATTGAAATAAATAATAAATTAAAATTTTAAAAAATACAGTAAATCTTGACTCCACTAGAAAAATGAGGTCATACCCAAAAAGACAGTCACCTGGAAAATTTAATAACATCAAGATGCCGTTAAAGACTGCAGTGTGGTCTGATATGCAGGAGTATGAGAACTGTACTCTCAGAGTCCAAGGGACTATGCATGAAGAAAACAGACCAACATTATTATAAAAATTGCTTTAATCTGTGCACCTAAAGAAGCTAAGCAAGAAGGAGGACCCTGAGTAAGATGATCAATCCTCACTCAGAAAGACAAACAGGATGGACATTGGAAGAAGGAGAAAATAGGAAACAGGACAGGAGCCTACCACAGAGGGCTTTTGAAAGACTCTACTCAGCGGTGTATCAAAGCAGATGCTGAGACTCATAACCAAACTTTGGGCAGAGTGCTGGGAAAGGGGAGAGAGTAGGACCTGGAGAGAGCAGGAGCTCCACAAGGAGAGCAACAGAACCAAAAATTCTGGGCACAGGGGTCTTTTCTGAGACTGATACTCCAACCAAGGACCATTCATGAAGATAACCTAGAACCCCTGCTCAGATGTAGCCCATGGCAGCTCAGTATCCAAGTGGGTACCCTAGTAAGGGGAACAGGGGCTATCTGTGACATGAACGCAGTGGCTGGCTCTTTGACCATCCCATCCCTGAGGAAGGAGCAGCCTTGCCAGGCCACAGAGGAGGACAATGCAACCAGTCCTGATGAGACCTGATAACCTAGAGTCAGGTAGAAGGGGAGGTCAGTGGACTTGGAGAGGGGCATGGGAGGAGATGAGGAATGGAGGGTGGGATCGGGAAGGAACGAAGGAGGGCTACAGCTGGGATACAAAGTGAATAAAATGTAACTAATATTAAAAAATAAACAACAAAAAATGTCCCTTTATATATGAGGATAAAGGGACATTTTTTATTTCACTGTTTCAAAAAGAACTCGAACCAGTGGTTAGAGAGAGTTAGGCCCAAGTTTGTTTTCAACATGTGTAGTAATTTATAATATTAAAAGAGTGTAACAGCTGGGCCTAATGATGCAATTCTGTGATCTAAACACTCTGGAGGCATGAACAGGAGGATCATTGGATCATTCAAGACAAGCCTGGGCTATAAAGCAAGACAACTTAGCAAGATTCTATCTCAGAAATTTAAGGGGCTGGTGAGATGGCTAGGGGGTTAAAAGCACTGGTTCATCTTCCAGAGGTCTGAGTCCAATTCTCAGCAACCACATGGTAGCTCACAACTGTCTATAAAAGGATCTGATGCCCTCTTCTGGCATGCAGGTGTACATAAATACAGAGCACTTATACATTAAATAAATAAATAAATAATTTTAAAAAATTAAAGCAGAGTACTTGGGAATACACTTTAGTAGAAGAATATTATTTAACATGCACCAAAACCTTCATTCAGTCCCCAGAACCTAAATAGATAAATAAATAAGTTAACTATATGAATGTGTATATATATATATATATATATATATATATGAATGTGTGTGTGTGTATGTGTGTGTGTGTGTGTGTGTGTGTGTGTATGATTCCCATATCCTGATTCCTCTCACTCACTAACTTCAAGCTACCTTAAAGGGTTTCCTATGACAGTTTAAAATACTGCAGATGTTAGAGAAGTCACCAGCTTCCTAGGGCAGCAGCCATATTTTCCTCCTTGGAAAATAATGTCTCATAATCTGCCAAAACCCAGCAGAGGGCATCCTTCCATTTCAGATCCATGAATAGTGCAGAAGAAACCCATCATAGTGTAACGTATTCCACTGACGCCTCTGCATCTTGATTCAAACAACGTTTGCCTGGGTTTGGAGGAGAACCGTTAATCAATTTATTCTGAACCTGACTCCCTCCAGGTGTAGAGCAGCAGCTCGAAATTACAGAAGCAGCAGAGTTCGCCCTGCGGCCTTTGTCTCCTAGATGCAGAGCATGCACGTAAAGAGATCAGAGGGAAGACATGACTGAGAAAGAGCCAGGGTCCTGACCTCATTTGTAGCAATTGCCTTCTGTCCCTCCAACTGAAAGACAAATGATGAGACCGGTATACTGGCCTGGTACATTGCCTCAGAAACAGTATTGGGGTTAAAACTCATGGCCTTTGTGTGTACTAGGCAAGCACTCTACCAACTGAGCTACCTTCCCAACCACAGCCTATAATCCTTATAAGTTACATTCTCCCAGTGCCAAAAAATATCATATCCTTTGTTTATGGAGGAAGTCAGGGAATGAAGAAAGGAACATGAGGAAGCTGCTTAACCAAGTCATGTAGCCTGCCAATGTAAATTCACTGGGGCATCTAGTTCATGCCAAGCCCTGTTCTAAGTGCTAACTACATGACAAAGTCTCTGTACTCAAGGAGGTCTTGCACACAGCAAGAGTTTGGGATGTCAGACAGAGATAACCTAGACTCCCATCCAGTCCCCTTGGCCACCTATGTTACTTAGATCTAAAGCTTTTACTACTTTAGGAAAGGGGAAATTCTTAGTATTTCTTGAAAACCTGCTTGATTGTTCTTCCCGTCAGGTTCTTACAATCAGCCTATGAGGTCAGCCTTATTGTCATTCCAATGTAATATGAAGTGAATCAGAGTAGGAATTTAAAATAAGACTGCCTGAGTCCAGCATTTCTTCTTATTCAGGAGCCAAGGGAGGGCTGAGAGCTGAGTATCCTAAGGATCAGATATATGACAAACAGAAGGCTAGGAAGATACCATAATCACTGTCCTTATTTTTAGCACTACTGTCACAACCACTATTAGAGTTTGCTGGAACCTACGAATATATGCTGAAACACATAGGTAGAGGATCAATACTTCAAGTCAGAATTTCTCTATTTCAAAATGTTGTGATTTTTCAGTTCTGATTAAAATAAAATTGTATGTCACCATAGCTTTATAATCACGGATTCTTGGCAGTTATCTTTCCCTTAGATAACAGACTGCCTCTAATAACTGTGGCTGCAATCATAAGCTCCCTGAAACAAAGCAGAAATCTCTCCTGATATGGATGTTTCTCAATCCCTCAAAGTAAAAAAAAATAAAATAAAATAAGATCAGATACTGAGCATGACAAAGATATAAGTAACCTTCTAAGGTTTGACAGTCTTTGATCTCTGATAAGGGATCATTTTGGTTGGCTGCACCATTCAGTGATTGACATCCCCTTAGGATTTTTGTTCTCATCCTGGGGTGCCTTACCCAAGTGCATTTATAAATCAAAGGGAGTTAACGACACTATCAGTGTTCTTTAAAGAACAATAAGATGGCATGCTTGTTGCTCTTGTGGAAGTCGGTTTATTCTGCTTATCTGTATGTGTGTCTCGCTGGCATATTACAAAACTCAAAAAATGATATTAAACAATAATCAGATAAAATTCTGGCTCTAGACTTCATTTCAGGAATAAGATCTTTGTTTCATTGGGCAAGAAACTGAATATTTGATTATGGAGAATTAAAATTTACAAAGTTTCTCTTATACATATTCCATTTTTTTACTTATACTAAAAATGCAGTTTCAACTTGGGTCAGTTTTTAGAATGCAAAGTTAACTGAGCATTTCAAGAATGTGTTACTATTCAACAAAGCAGTTTTACACTGACTTCATCTCACTGCATTTCTGCAAGCATGAGCCATACAGAAGCACATTGGTTGGACCACAAGCAGAGCAACAGAACAAGATAATTTGAACACAGGGAACTTCCCAGAGACTCATACTCCAACCAAGGACTATTCGTGGAGATAACCTAGAACCCCTGCACAGATGTAGCCCATAGCAGTTCAGTGTCCAAGTGGGTTACATAGTAATGGAAAGAGGGACTGCCTCTGACATAATCTGATTGGCCTGCTCTTTGATCACCTCCCCCTGAGGGGGGAGCAGCCTTACCAGGCCTCGGTAGAGGACAATGCAGCCACTTTTGATGAGAACTGATAGACTAAGATCAGAAAGGAGAGGAGAACCTCCCCTATCAGTGGACTTGGGGAGTGGCATGCATACAGAAAGGGGAGGGAGGGTGGGATCAGGAGGGGAGAAGGGAGGGGCTTATGGGGGGATACAAAATGAATAAAGTGTAATTAATAAAAAATTTTTAAAAAAATAAAAAATAAAAAAATAAAAAATAAAAAAAGAAATAAAAATCCAAGCCCTCTGGTCTGAGCTCCCTCGAATAACAAATGTCCGGGTGGTCATATCACAAGTCATCTTTTTGTACAGTTTGGAGGTGGGACATATGGCAAAGCCAGTTTTCTTCTGTAGCATACTTACCCCAAGATAATGGCCGTCAATGAACACAACAGGGAGGGAAGGAGCTTCGGAGACCCGCCTGCACCGCTCATCCAGCTCTTTCCCATAGTCACCGTTCAGAGCTATGTTCTTCTCTTCAAATTTTACCCGATGGTTTTGGAAGATCTTTCTAACCAGTTCACATCTCTCAAAGGTTGTCCTCACCACACGAAGGCAGGTTGTATAAATCACCACACGGTCAAATTCCAGGTCAGCTGAAGGTTGCTGAAAAGAAAGCAGTGAACTGTAAATATATTTGCTTTACTTCCTTACATTTTACTCTGTGTGCACAGTTTGAATGAACAACTTTGGGTAAGTGTCTTGTACTTTAAAGACACTCCCAAAAGTTGAATGAGCACTTTGTAGATTCAGAGCCATAGATTAAGACTGAGATGTGCTCTTTAGTACAACAAACGAAAACAGAGATTCCCTGCCATATGCAGAATCTAGATTTATTATAGATGTATGTTATTTATTATATATAAAGGGCAGAAGAAATGACAGAAGACGGAGATGGATGATGTAATATATGCGACATAAAAGCATAAAGGCCTGATTTTGTGGTGAAAGAGACAGAGGACAGCGTGTGACCAGGACGAATAAGAACAAAGCATAATAGAGCTAGTGAGATGGCTCAGCAGGCACGAGCCACCAAACCTGATGAGCTGAGTCCCGTCTCAGAGACCCACATGTTGAAAAGAGAGAACCAATTCCAACAAGTTATCATGACCTGCACAGAAGCACTATATATTCAGATGTTTTTTTTAAACTGGGTGAGTGACTGGGCACAGTGATGTACCCGTGTAATCCCAGAACTCTGGGAGGCAGAAGCAGGAGGATCCCTGTGCATCTGAGGACAGGCTGGTCTATAAGATGAGTCCAGGACAGCCAAGGCTACACAGAGAAATCCTGTCTTGAAAAAAAAAGGATATGTGTGAGAGAAAGATAATAAGAGAGAGAAGTCATGTGTATATGTGCAAATGAAAGATCATAATAAAATAGATTACTTTGTATGGTGATTTTAAAAAAATAAATAATCCATACTTATCACCCTGCACAAAACTAAAGTCCAAGTGGATCAAAGACCTCAACATAAAATCAGATACACTAATCCTGTTAGAAGAAAAACTGGGGAAGAGCCTTACTTGACCTCGTTGGCACAGGAGACAACTTCCTGAACAGAACACCAACAGCACAGGCTCTAAGATCAACAATCAGTAAATGGGACCTCATGAAAATGAAAAGCTTCTTTAAAGCAAAGAACACTGTCATCAGAACAAACCAATAGCTTATAGATTGGGAAAGGATCTTCACAATCCCTATATCTGAAAGAGGGCTAATATCCAGAATATATATAGATCTAAAGAAGTTAAACACCAACAAACCAAGTTATACAACTAAAAATTGGGGAAAACAGAGAATTCCCAATAGAAGAATATAAAATGGCAGAGAAACACTTAAAGAAATGCTCAACATCCTTAGTCATCAGGGAGATGCAAATCAAAACAACCCTGAGATTTCACCTTAAAGCCATCAGCTCAAACCCCAAGTGACAACACATGTTGGACAGGATATGGAGAAAGGTAAACCCTCCTCCATTGCTGGTGGGAATGTAAACTTGTACAACCACTCTGGAAATCAATCTGGCGCTTTCTCAGAAAATTAGGAATAGTGCTACCTCAAGATCCATCTATACCACTCCTAGGCGTATATACAAAAGATGTTCAAGTATACAGCAAGGACATTTGTTCAACCATGTTCGAGGAAGCTCTATTCATAATAGCCAGAATCTGGAAACAACCTAGATGTCCCTCAACAGAGGAATGTCCCACAATATAGAAATTGTGGTACATTTACACAATGGAATACTACTCAGCAATTAAAAACAAGGAAATCATGAAATTTGCAGGCAAATGGTGGGAACTAGAAAAATATCACCCTGAATGAGGTATTCCAGAAACAGAAAGATACACGTTATATACTCACTCATAAGTGGTTATTAAAAATATGATATAGGGTAAACATACTAAAATCTATATTCCTAAAGAAGCTAAACAATAAGGAAGCTAAAAAACAAGCAAGACCCTAGGAAAGATGCTCAATCTTCATTCACAAGGGCAAATGTGGTAGACATTGGAAGCAGGAAAAGACAAGGAACAAGACAAAAGCTTACCACAGAGGACCTCTGAAAGACTCTCCTCATCAAGGTATCAAAGCAGAGGCTGAGACTTACAAAGTTTGGGCAGAATGCAAGGAATTTTATGAAAGAATGGGGAGATAGAAAGACGTGGAGGGGACAGGAGCTCCCAAATGAAACAAATAGAGTCAAAACAAACTGAACCTGGAGGCCTTGAAGAGAATGATACCCCAGCCAAGGACCATGCATGAAAAGGCCCTAAAACCCCGGCTCAGATATAGCCAATAGAGTCAGTCTCCAAGTGGGTTCCCTAGTAATGGGAACAGGAACTGTCTCTGACATGAACTCAGTGGCAGGCTCTTTGATCACCTCCTCCTGGGGGGCGGGGGGGTGCAGCCTTGCCAGGCCACAGAAGAAGACAATGCAGCCAGTCCTGATGAGATCTGATAGCCTAGGATTGGATAGAAGAGGAGGAGGACCTCTCCTTCAGTGGACTAGGGGAGAGGCATAGAGGGAGGGTGGGATTGGAAAGAGATGAGGGAGGGGGCCAGAGTCAGGATACAAACTGAATAAATTGTAATAAATGATAATAATAATAATGATGATGATGATGACAATGATAAAACACAAAAATACATAAAAAAATATGAACAGCAAGTATAACAAGCTTTGTCTAATTGTAACATTGAGCTGTGATGGCTAACCTTGTGTCGATGGCTTAAGAGAACTGTAAAGCAAAATTGGCCTTCAAATGTTAAAGGCTGATAAGGGTTGATTTCTGTAATTTCCTGGTCTTGTACAACTTTAACAAAATTGTTGTTTATGCAAGGTAATAAGTCAAGAGGTCAACTGCTATTTCTGCTTCTGTAAACAAAAGCTTGTTTTGCAGGACAGGACCTTCTGCTTGCAGAAGAACAAATTGTAACTTTGCTCTTATTAACTACTCCTTCTGTATGATTCACTGCACTCTGCCCAAAGTTTGGTTATGAGTCTCAGCATCTGCTTTGATACACTGCTAGATAGAGTCTTTCAGAGGCCCTCTATGGTAGGCTCCTGTCCTGTTACGTGTTTTCTTCTACTTCCAATGCCCATCCCATTTGTCTTTCTAAAATGAGGATTGATCATCTTACCCCAGGTCCTCCTTCTTGTTTAGCTTCTTTAATTTATCTGGGCACAGGGGTCTTCTCTGAGACTGATTCTCCAACCAAGGACCATGCATGAATATAACCAAAAACCCCTGCTCGGACGTAGCCCATGGCAGCTCAGTATCCAAGTGGGTTCCCTAGTAAGGGGAGCAGGGGCTGTCTCTGAGATGAACTTAATGGCTGGCTCTTTGACCTCCCCACCCCAAGGGAGGAGCAGCTTTGATAGGGCACAGAAGAGGACATTGCCAGTCCTGATGAGACCTGATAAGCTAGGGTCAGATGGAAGGGGAAGAGGACCTCCCCTATCAGTGCACTTAGAGAGGCTCAGGGAGGAAATGAGGGAGGGAGGGTAGAATTGGGAGTGAATGGGGGAAGGGCTACAGCTGGGATAAAAAGTAAATAAACTGTAATTAATATAAAAATTAAAAATTTAATTAAAAATGTAACTTTGCATTCTTTGTCATTATAAATCCCTCATTGATGTGGCTGGACTCTACATTTGGGAATCCTGACTTCCAGGTGTAGAACTGGCACCAGTATGTGAATGAAAGCCTCTTCATCAAAATTTTTAAAAAATCGTAACATAGTAAAAGCTAAATTCAAAACACTGAGACATATTCCAATTATTGTTTAACAAGAAATAACAATATAAGTTAAGTGATTCATTTTAATAGCATGTCAAATAAGCTT